TAACGAATTTGGATCTAAAATTGGGCTCCGTTCCTGATGCCTAGAGCTTAAGGCAGCCCCATCTGTTATAGCTTAATAGTAAACTCATCAGAAGATATTTCAGTTTAGTGTTTTAATATTCCCCATTTGGCATTTAAAAGTACTACTGTCAGAACCAGGAAAGCGGTGGAAGAGGCAGAGCTGTGCTGTGCTTGCAGTGAGCCAGAGACCTGAAACGTTAAAGAGATTTCAAGGAAACTCCTCCCTTCTCCCCTGAAAAGCAAAAAGTGTGGAAGTGGAAAAGCAGACAGACTCTATCCGTTGTGCTGTTTTGGGATTGTGAGGCAAGGTTTTTCCACAGAGCCTGCGTGGAAGTGGGGTGACGGCTGAGGGAAGATGCGTTCCTGATGTGCCTTCTGTCTGTGTGTTGCGGGGAAGGCTCAGTGTGATGCTGAGGCCCACATCTCAAAGCCAGCCCTACGTATGGTGGGACACAGGAACTGAAGCGCCCTGAGAACTGCCTTGTGTGAAGCTCTGACCGTGATGTTTAACATGGCGACAATGTAAATAAATGAGGAAAGCGAGGGCTAGCAAAAAAAATGACACCAAGTTTATATCGTGAATACAGACACGTTATTATTTCCTCCATGCGGCAAAAGTGAAAAGTGAATTTGTGGGGCTCTACACCTGGCGGGCCGTGCGTGCGGGGAAATGGAAGGGAGCCACCGTGCTTCCTCCAAGATCTGAAATAAACATTCAGCAGTAAAACCTAGAAGAAAATGAGTCTGACAGACTCGTTCTCCTGTGCGCTTCCTGCCTCCGCTCTTGCCAGGCTGGCTGTGCGGGGCCAGGCTGTGCCCCCTGTGGGTAGGGCTTGTGGAGGAGGAGAGCCGGAGCTATGAGGTGAGAAGAGAAGTACAGGTTAGCTTCAGAGGGTTCTAATTAGTGAAAATTTGGGAAAATGATGCATTGCAACGCAAAAAGTCAAGCCATAGGTGTACTGTTACGATGAAATGAATGCTGAAGCGGAAATGAATGTGATTATATTTTTACTGCCTCACATATAAGTCAGCCCCATGAATGAGAGAAACTGCAGGCAGGGCAAATTACTACACTTTTCTTTGTTTTTCCTATTAATAGGAAGCAAATTGAAGTCAAAATGCCAACAAGGATAGCAGCTAGCCTGGAGCTTCTGGAGGAGAGGGCATTTATGCCTAGTACAAGAATAGAGCAATCATACTCACACGTTGCCATGCAGGAGTGAGGAGTGGTTTGGGGCCTAACAGGGGGCAGGAAGAGAGATCAGTGAGAAAGGGGACCTTCTGGCAAGGTGCGGTGAGGTTTGGTGCTGTCATTTCACTGGGAAGCCTTGAGTCTGGATTCCAGGTTTCAGCTGAGCAGCGGGGTTGCTGTAAAGGGATTTGGAGATGATGGTCAAGCTTTTTGCCAGCGTGCTGGTCCTTCATGGTGCCTCAGCCCTGTGACAGGGCTGCAGAGTTCAGCTGGCAGCCTCCATCTTGCAAACCCTGTGTATCCTTTTGGTGACTGTGTCTGAAAGCAAGCACGGGCGAGGTTTGTGCCTTTGCTGTCCTGGTGCACAGAAGCTTGGAACTGCAACTCCATGCGTGTGCTCCATCCTACCATCCACACTTGTCCTCACTTTGCATTCCACTTGGATTTTGACAGGTTCATCATCTCTCAGTTCAGCCGGTTCCCCTCTAGTGTGTTCCATCACTTCTTCTTTCCCCCTCCTAGTCCAATGTCAGGTCCCTCATTCTTGCTTTTCTCAAGGAAGCACCATGTTTACAATCATCACCCTTCCTTTCACTAAGCCTTTAAAGCTTCATCTTTCATTAAGCTTCTGTTCTGCAGGTACAAGTTGTGTATTAATTGTCTTGCTTCCTTTCTTCTATTTCATCAACAAATGTAGCTTTTTTTCCTCCTGCATTCACACAGAGAAAAATTTTCTCACTTCATTATTTGTATTTTGATTATTGCCACCACACTAGTCTTTGCACATTCCTTACTGTTATTGTATATTGAATGCACTTGGTCTGAGCCTACTGTTGAAATGGAAAGAGAGAGTGTGTGGCAGTGGTGACATGATAGTGGTCAGCTTCAGGACGATAGCTTCAGTGAGCACGTGCATGACTGTTATCTGGACAGACAAGATATTACATACCCCACAGATGGCTATTTTAATCAGTGGTCTGAGGGAAGGTGGTTTTGTAGGACTGTGGATGCTCATCTATGCATGGCAGTTAGTGTGGAAAAAACATTTCTCAGCTCTGACCGTCAGTTTGTCAAGGATAGGTGCTTTCTTTTAGTTTTCTATGTGCAGAGTGCTCTGTAACGAAGCCCTGGCTGCTAGCAACTTAGAGAACAACGTTAAGGATAATAACTGTCACTGCAATAGGCAAGGCAAACTATGAAGGACAATGGCTCAACAGTGCGGTCGGTTTTTCATTTTTATTTTTTAATTCAAACATCCTTGTTGAGGAATCGCTGTGTTAAAAAGATACCTTGTTGCCACTGATACGTGACCTACTATTCTGGCTGAAGTTAATTGCAAAGACCCTGGTAACTCATTTATTTATTTTCTTAAAGAGTCAAGTCTCTGTTATGACTCATTTCAAAATCAAGTATATCTTTTTGTTGTTGTGACTGTTCATGGCTCATCATGAGCAGTAAAATGAGACTTGAAAGGTACTCAAGCTTTGTGCCATTGCAGACCCAACAATCATTTTGACTAGATTCTGAGAAGGGAGAGTACTCTGTTGCAGAAGAGTATAAATACACATTGCCTTGCTTACATATTCCTTGACAAGTAATTAAAAATTACTCATCTCCTGAGTTGATCAACAGTGCAAATAAAGCACAAAGCATCCACAGGAGGTAAATTCAGAGCTACTCAGTTAATTGGATTGTGTGGCATTTTAGTCAGGCAGCCTTTTGTCGCTTGGCCTCCACCTTGCTGCATTCATCTCTGGGGCTGTGTCTCCGTAACTGAAATATGGCAAAGCAAGGGAAGGTGCTGGAGTTTTCTTTTGGCACTCTGTGGATTCTGTCAGAATGTTCCCATTACGTCTCCAGGATGTTTCCATGTTGGAGTCTCATGGGCTGGAGAAGGGCGAGTTGTATTTGCATTTTCAACAACAAGAGAAGAGCTTTCTAAAAAGTCAAAAATCCCCAAAACTTCGGAAAAAAATTCACAAACACTTTTGTTATTGTTTAAAATGCTCACAAAATGGCATTGATCATGTGAGAATTTAAATATATGTTTTAGAAATACAGGTAGGTATTAACCACATTACGCAGTGGAGTGTTCTTTGTTGCGAACTGTAGATTGACTTAGTTGAGGCATAATGGACTGTCATAGGCATAATGCTGGATCTAGGCATAGACATGGAGCAATGACACATTTTCTGGCCATTTGGGGCTGCATGGGAGAGCCAGAGACTCGAGACTTCTAGCAGGAGGTCAAGTGAAAGGGGAAAAAGCAGGGAAACTGATGCTCCACAGATCTGCTGTGAGCTTTTGACTTAGTTTTCCTTTTTCTGGAGTGTGTGTTTGTAGCACAAGCGCCACAAGGGATACTCCTGTAAGGGTACAAATGACCTGAGCGTGTTGTGTACGGTCTCTCTTCAGCTCTCCCCGAATGGCAGGAACACCTCTGTGATCTGCTGTAATGGATGAGCCAGCAGCAGTATGGCTCGGCTGTTCTGGGGCAGGGTGCCTGCTGCAGCTTGGGATTCGGAAGCAATTAGGCTCTGATTAATTTTATTTATTTATTTAAATGACTCGAGAATTGCTGTGTTCCATCATTAGCCTCGCTGCCACTCAAAAACTGAGCTACTGCAGTCGCTAGAGGAAATCTTGCAACCCATATGCCATTTATTTTGAATGGGTGTCGTGTTCTGCTTTCTTTCTTTACTGGTAGCCAGTCACAGGAAGATTGCTTATCAGGATCATTATTTTAGATGTCAAGATGTTATGGTGAAATCAAGTTGGAATGCCTTATAGAAGTGATAAAATAAAAGTAAAAATGAAGAGTCCAAACTGAAAGGCTTTGTTTGTGGCTGTTTCTTTTCATTTTACGTTTGTCATCTTACTTTAAGCTGACCTCTGCAGTGACAACAATTCATTAGCTGTTCTCCTCCAGAAGTTTCCTAACATATAAGCCATGGCTCTGTGGCACTGTCCAGTCTCACAAAGCTTCGTTGCCTGGCTGCAGGGCTCTTGACTTATTCCACTAAATCTCCTGGCCTAGTAATGAGCCTTTCCTACAGAAATGTTGTTGACACATGACCTGCAGGATGTAGAGACTGAGAACTGTAGTAGGGACTGAGAATTATGTCAACCATGTTTCATATTTTGCATTTCCATACAAACGTAAAATATGATCACACTGCTGCTTGGAAATTGTTTTAAAAATAAATATGTCAAAGCAGAGAAAAGGCTTTCTTAAAAAAAAATCAGGGAGTTTTTACAGTAAAATACAGTAAAAGAGTTTTTAAGTGCTTTGGCTGAGCAGAGGTTTGTAACTGAAGAAAAATGTCTTCACTGTGATTTTATTTCTTTTGGTGCACGTGCACCTCAAGGAACTGTAATTGTGTCAGTGACCTACTCCAGCTGAAAGGGCTGTAGTGCACTAAGATTGATTAACTGCTGCCTGAAAAAATCGTAGTTTTCTGTTACTTTCTTGCTGCAGTCTTACATGTTTTATGGGAACACAGACAAATTTTTGTGACGAATGTATGGTAAAATATTTCTGACGTCGAATGCCGGAGCAAAAATCATAAATAACTCTCCCTTTCATTTTCTTTAAATTACGGATGTGTGAGTCTTTGTCATAATTACATGTGCCAGTCTGAGATTTAAACGCATTACACTTTATGCAGTTGACTTATGAAATGTGCATTAGTCTTTGAGGAGGTGGGACAAACCTGACACTTCCTCATGTAGCACAGATACCGTTCGATTTATGCAGTCCTCCCTTCATTCCAGATGGTTATTGATTACATAAATAAGTAGGTAATTTTTCTCTTCCAGAACTTCGCAGAAAACACTATGAATGAGCTCCTTGGCTGGTATGGTTATGATAAGGTTGAACTGAAAGATGGAGAAGATATTGAATTCAGGAACTACTCTGCAGATGGGGAAAGCCGCCAGCACATTTCTGTTCTCAAAGGTAATAAGGCTTAATGTTTCTGTATTCATGCAAAGAAGGATTAATATCTTGACCTGTCTGAATTGGCGCGGGTTGGGAAGCGTGTTCTGCTGCTTGCTTTGTGGTTGATTTATTAAAATTTCTGAGACTGTCTCCTAGTAAGAGGAAGCCGATAGGGTATGGGAAAAATCACTTAACTAAGTTGCTGTTCGTAGGCACTTAGTAATTTCACAAATAATACCTTTTGTTAGTTGGGTGAAAGTCATGTACCAATAAGCTGCTCACCACTGGATAAAGAGAGTGTCTTCTTAGTGGTTTGGATTTAAGGAAGCCCTTTTGCTTTCAAAACAAAGGCTTTGGCCCAAGGCTTTTTAAAATGCCCGTAGGCGTTGAGCAGGGATATTCAGAATGCATGCAAGAATCATCATCAACACTCATAACAGGCTCCTTAGCCGTGTTTGTAATAGGCTGTGTTCTGCAAGTGCTTAGAAGTTCTCAGTTTGGGACACTGCTGGATCTTGACGCAACGCAACACAAAATTACTCAGCGTGCAAATTATGGGACTCGACTTTCTGTTGAGCAGTTCAGCTGCTGCTTTCTGATGCCTCAGCCCCAGCCGGTGCGTAGGGAGTTGTGGTCAGAGGGAAAAGGAGAGCAGGATGTTGCTGGATCTTGGTTTTCCCAATAGGATTTTCTCACAGATGGGGTAAAGAGAAGAAATGGCAGAAGCTGTTATGCTTTTGGAGCTCCAGTTGTCACTGTGTTAGTGGCTGGCAGTGTATGGGCTTGCGTTCTGGTGACAAGTAGCAGTGAGTACAGCAATTAGTGCTGAGACTAGAGAGACCAACTCTGAAGGCAAAAACAAAGGTGGAAATTAGAGGAATGGCAAACCAGTCTAACTATGTTAAAAGTGAAAATTCACATCTTGTTAGTTGTACAGTTACACTGGTGATCAATATTTCTATTTCATTGAAAATACACTGTTGTTAAGACACCCTTGAAGAAACTTGTTCCTACAGAGAGGATTCATTTGTTTATGCTTTAATCAATAGATCTTTTATTGAATTATTTGTGGCTTCAGTCTATGCCTAATGAAATCTGTGACATACTTTTCTTTATAGGCATATGATACAAATCATATGTTTTATGTACCAAACAAAGATGTCGAATAGCTGTGCCAGGTAGAGATTTTCAATGTATGCAGTCTGTTAGAGAAGAAAAAAAGCATGTTTCTTTCTCTGAGGGATGGGACAAGAGACAGTGATAAGAATTAAATCCTACCCCATAGATACCTGAGGCCCATTAGAGGAATTCCTACAAATGTGAATCCAAAGGTGCTTTGGGATTAAAGAATTAGAACCATAACTGTCATCATTTTATGCACACTTTATTTTAAATTCAATATTCCTTTCTTTAAAACCTTTCCACTGCTGCTACTCATCATATTATAGAGAGAGAAATAGGAATTCTTTTATTTTTCAATCTATGCTGCTTGCTTTGGAGAAGTGACAACATGCTAAGTGCTGAGTTAGATATGACAAAATAATTTCACCTCTTAAAAAAAATACATAGTTGTGTTTAATGCTTGATTTTTAAAGATTTAGAAAAGGATTGTTTCAGAGAAATACTGAAAAGTATCCCTTTGCTTAAGGGGACAGTATCAGTTGTTTTTTTTTAAATTTTTCTTTTGTGTGGTCTTCTTGTACTAGGGTAATTTAGTGAACAGGTTGGTGAATGTATGTAGGGGCATCTAAGAAATATATTTGTCATACTGTACAATGTGTTTTTTGTGTTTTACAGAAAATTCTTTGCCAAAACCAAAATTACCTGAGGACAGTGTTATTTCACCATACAATATAAACACAAGCTACCCAGGGCTTGCCACGGGAAATGGACTTTCAGACTCACCAGCAGGGTCAAAGGATCACGGGAATGTACCTATTATTGTCCCATTAATTCCGCCACCTTTCATAAAGCCACCAGCAGGTAAATCCTCCTGAACATTTAAAAACGTTGGTTGTCATTGACACGGGTCCTGAGATTGCTAGGTTATGGCTTATTTGTAAGAGTGCTCTAGTAACCAGTTGCTGTGAACTTCAAGAAGGACTGGGGGACGATGTGCTTTGCTTTGATAGTATTCTTGAAAAACAATTGCAACTGCAGTGCCAACAGACAGTCTCTCCTGCTGCTTGTGACAGCCTGCATGCCGGATTGTAGTTCCTCAGCACTTGAGCAACATCTGCTTAAAAAAAAAAAGATATTGTTTTGATGACTAATGCCTTTAAGTAAATTAATGAAAGATGATTAAATAAAAAATAAGCTTCAGAGGGAAACAGTGAAAGAGACAAAGTCATCAAATCAGTACCGTGTCTTTCTTTATATCAGGTTAACAAGCTTATCCTGGGAAAACTGTCTCTTGGTTCCCACTGAAGTCCCTGACCATCGTCTCTTGAGGGTTTATTATGATCTTAACTCTGCCCAGGAGACTGCACCAAAATGTTTTACATTTTCATTAGACTTTTATCGGGAGTGATTTCATAACACGCCATTCCTCAGAGTTTGTGTGAGAGATGATTTATTCTCCTCAGCATGCTGCTTACCATAATCCGTGAAAGTAACTTGTAGAGCTCCACCAGGGTGATTAATTGCCACGTTATTGTCTGCCGCTGTACACGGCACAGTAATTGCTGAAGTTAGGTAGCAGTGGGCTCCATCCTTCTTCTGCAGATGTTCCTGGGTGTCTGAGTACTCAGGGATGGGCAAGGTGACCTGCAGCACCCACTAGAGATGCTGGTATGCAGGAAGCAGCTTTGTGGCAGTGTCCCACTGGCTGTGAGGACGTTTCTCTAGAGGCAAAGCTGTGCACAGGGCTTGGTGCCACACACTAGCTGGTTGGTAATGGTAAAATACTGGTGGGTCCAACAAAGGCTTGCCTGTTGATAGCGACATGACAGATACACCGGCCCCTCCCAGGTTATTTTGATACCATTGAGTTTTTTTCTCTAAAGAAGTATACTAATATGCTCTGAGTAATTTTCAGATGTTACCCAATATGCACTCTCTGCCAAAGACTTTTCATCTATTTTATACGATATTTGCTAATTACTAAAGCTATTTGGGCCCATTCCTGCAGCCTTTACACTGCTAAAGATCTCGGGCCATATGGGCTGGATCCTCAGCTGTTGCTGATTTGGCCCAAAAGCTTTAATCAAGGGCTTGTATCATCCCAAACTATTTTCTCCCTCCAATCTGAGTCATGAATGAATCCGAAATGTTGAATTTGTGGTATGTGGATGCAAGGCTATAACATGCATTGTGCAAACTGCCACAGATACTGGATTTTTTTGACATCAAACAGGCAGGAGGAGATGGAACAATAAAGTAGAAAGTGAAAAAAGTGAGCATGGGAACCTTACCCAAATCAACTGCCTTGCGTTCTTTGCCCATCCACGTACCACGTGTGATCCTGTGTTCAGATGTACCAGTAAAGGTAGAACATGTACAGAGCTTTTCATAAGTATTTTCCATCTTTAGGTTTTTATTTCTTTAGTTCATAAAGAAAATAATTGTTTTGCTCACATAAAGGATGTGAATGCATAATTTCTGCCTCCTCTGATTTTATCCCATGATTGGTAATGAGTGCTAGATTACCACAACTTCTGAGTAAATGAACATATTTATCTCACCTTTGTTTTAGAGAGCAGAGTTTGGAAGGTTTGGAAGGGGAGGAGAACCACAGCCTTTGTGAGTTTTACAGTAAGCACCAGTAGTAATTGTGGTGTTTTATCTTAGGGCGTAGGAGCCCTAGTCATGAGCACCCCAAAGAGCCTGCGGTACAGTGTCAGGCAAGAAGCAACGGGTGAATACAAGCAGAAAAGGGAGTACAAAGGAACTAGGAGAGCCTGTGTGCAAGGCAGTAGTGTTGGCACCACACTTTGACACCGTTTTTTGGGCACTACATCAAAGCAGAGAACTTCAGAGTGATGCAAAGCCAGGCAAGAATAACTGTGGGGATGTTTTCCCCCCTTTTCTAGCATATGGGACAAACTAGGGAGCAGCACAAAGGTGCTTATTTGAATCGTGTCGGCAAATGAAAAGGAATGTTGTCAGTGATTGCTAAAGCTGAAAGTCAGCATTTTCAGTGTGGCTAGGAATGTCTGTGAGTGACCTGCTGAAAGAACAGGCACAGCTTATATTGGTGGAGTTAATAAAGAAAGAAAGGGAACAGAAGGGAGCAGGCAGAAAAATTCTGAGAGAAGACTTCAAGGTTAAAATACTGGGCAGAGAAAGGGATCTTTGCAGTATGTTTTGCATGGATAGGCTTAGTGCAGTGGTACATGACGGAGCAGAGAGAAAAATAAGTAGTGGTACACTGCAGTGACTGAGACGTGAGATGCTGGGAATTGGGATGAGCTCAATCTTTGTGGATGAATGGGGCAAGTTTTGGATATTGTTCAGGGAAAAAAGTTAACGAGATTAAAATCTAGCTCAAAAGAGCGTGCCCACAGATGAAAATGATATCTAAATTGTGAACCTGAAGGACAGGAAAGATGGTGGTGCAATTCACTGCTACTAAGTAAATAATACGGAGTGAACACTCAGGGAAAAATTATTAAGACTTTAATTCTTGCCATATTGATTTTGAACTGAAGGGTCAGTGCCCATAAAGAAGTGCCAGAGAGACAGGCAAAAGCAGTCATTTGGACAGCAGAGCAATGATCTGGAGAGGATAAGCAGATCCACATCCACAATGAGTTATTAGTTGAATAATTTTTGAAGATAAGATTCTAAGAGGTAAGAGGGAGAAGAGAAAGAGCAAAGCACTGGAGATGCTCACAGGAGCCTGAAGGGAGAAAGAAGAAACATACTTTGTGAGGTGCACTGATGTAGCAATTGCAAAGGTAGAAAAATCATTGGGGAAAGATGTATCTTTCCAAAGAGACGGATATGATTCTTAGTATCAGCAACAGCTACCAGCTGAGGAAGGAGTACTTGTCCTGATCTACATCTGGGAAGCAGTCAGCAAGTATTTCAGCGGATTAGATCTTCCTTGAGCCTGCTGGAAACCATTGAGTAGTATCCTATCTACACTCCTGCTTTAAATGAACAGGCTAAAACTTCAAATAGGTAATAAAATTACCTTTTTTCCCTCCTGTTTATTTTATAGATTTTTTTTTTTTTCTTTTGAAAGCCAGATGATTTCAAGCAGCACGACTACAATACATCTCCAGATAATGTTGCACTTTCTGTTTCAGGCAAATGACGTGTTAGGTAACTTTTGCTTACACAATCCTAGGAAACACTGCAGTGTCGCCTGACCAAATATAAACAGCTATAAATATAAAGGTGCTGTCTCTTTGCAGTACCCCAAGATTATACCCAAATAAGCTGAGTTGAATGCACAGGCCCTGTGTGATGCATGAAACATCTACAGGCTAAGGTTGCGGCCTGTCTGTGGAGATTATAGATTCCTCTTTGACAGATGCTGACACCACCAGGCAGGTAGGCTATGCTCTGGCAGAAGTCAGATTAAAACAGGCTTAGTCAGTCAACATCAGCCATCTGACTTGCATTTGGAAGTAGATACGGAACCAGTGCAGCCTCCAGAATGTTGATTTAATGAGTAGTCTTCTGGTGGCTGATCACTGATCCTCCTTGCTGCCTCCGCTAGTTGCAGCAGGTCCTGTGTAATCTTCAAGGGTTGGTCACAAGCACAATCCATTGCAGCAAACTGATATTTCTTCTTGGTGTTGGAAGAATCTTGCTTTCTGCAATGCAGCCTAAAGAAGGTATTGTTTTCGTTAGACAGAAATGGCAAGGAAAAGACATGCAGTAGCCAGGAACGATCTGGAAATAAAAATACCTCCACAGTTGTGCAGGATATATGATCATACTAATCAGTACCAATCATCCTAACTTGTGTTCTACAGTCCTCAGTGCCAGGGAGGAAATCTGTGAGGGTGCTGGGTGACTGCCTTTTTGATCAACAAGTGTGGCTGTCTGGTTTAGATGCAGGACAGCTAAGATCTACTCTTCTTGATTTTAGAAGAATGCAAAAGAAGAATGCAAGAAGCTCTTCAAATGCAGTAAGAAGCGTGCTTCCTCCTTCCTGGCATCTGCTGTGATGTCTCCGTTTCCTGGTCCTTGGTTTATTTTTCCTTGAGAGCCTTGTGGCAATGCTTTGGTAGGGGAGGACAACTGCTGTTTGGCCTGGCTTTCGAGAAAAGGCATCAAGTAGAAGCGTTCCCTCCCCCTCATAGGTGCAATGTACAAATTACATCTGTTATCCACAGCGCTGCAAATGAGCACCAGCTCCCCACTGTGCAGCACTGCCAGAGAGTCACTGCCAGAAGTACTTCCAGTACTGCGTCCCTTATAATACAGGCAAGGAAACGGCACGTTCAAAGACTAAAATGAATAATGAGGTGCTTTATAGAAAGGAATGAGTGATTTTTTTTATGTTATAGCTTCACATAATGTTAGAATCAAGGTTTACAATCCTTTGTACACATAGGTGCACACGAATAACTTGGTGCATCAGCCGTACAACACGCGGGATTCAGCAGAGTCCCTGCCTGAAGAACACTCTGGAGCTGCATGCTGTAAACTCTATCAATATTTAAATTATATTGGAGGGATCTGAAAGCATAAAGGATTTTTAAATGGTAGTTAGCAGGGCAGTAAAGCTGAATCCCATGATTATCTGTCTGAATTCACTGAGGAGTTGGTTCTACGACTGCATTACCAAGAAGTCTTATTCCAGGCAGAACCCAGTGGCAGTTTCCCTTAAATAAAGACCATATTACCAGATCTAATTAAGCCTATATATTGAGGAGACTTTCATTTTACTGCACTCTTGATCCTTTTTCAGTATTTTCCAAATCTTATTCCAGTTTACAATTTCTGTAACTGCAGGCTTAGCTCTCTAATAAAGATGACCACAACCCAACAGTTGCAGTCACTACTCTTTGAACACTTTCTTTTGT